GTTTCCCCTGTTGGTCCCCTCTTCTCTGTGGTTATCAGCCGTAATTGTTCTTTGGTTTTTGCTGGGAAAGTCTTGTGAACTCCTCAACAGGTAACTTAGGCCCTTCGCTTTAACCGCTGATCTTGTCTCTGTGTTTGACTTCGTATGGCCCCAGAGGGTCTGCAGGAAGGAGCTTCTTCTAGCGCTCCGGAACCAACTGGCGAAGGGAGTCCGGAGACAGGGAAGCTGCGGCCGAAGGCGCGGATCGACCGTCGAAGGCGGTACCGGGGTCACTTGGGCAGACATCTCTGAAGAAGCGCCTGAGCTGTCTGGTGAAGGGGCTGCACGTGAGGATCTTCTGGACTTAGGTGTCCAACAACTCTTGAAGAATCTGCTGCGGGAGAAGCTGCCTTTGGAGCCTCAGCGGACGTTCCTGAAGACGATCAAAGGTTCAACGCACTGTCGACCTTGTCAAAGTGGAAGAGCCGGAGACACATGTGACGGTCGACGACATCTTTCGAGAACTTTCGTCAGGCCCTGCAGCCGAAATTCAGGAGACTCCAGGTGGGGAAGCTTCTTTAGAGGGACCCAATTTAGCCGAAACAGTTTATCCCGAATTAGAAGCTCCTGAGGCCGATCCTAACCTGTAACCTACTTGAATCCAAGGAGGAACAAGCCGCTTGGGCCGATCCAGCTGAGATTGCAGAGGAAGAGGCACCTGCTACTTCAAGCCGTATCGTCACTGACACTGAGATCGCTGAGGTAGTTCGTGCAATCCCATTTTTGTGCAACACTTAGCCGTCGATCCGGACGAGCCAAGTCCTCCGGCGACATCTCCGATTGCCACCGCTGCGCCTTCACAGCGACCTTGCATTAGGACTAGAGGGGCTAAGGGTGGTAAGGGTGGTAAGGCCAAGCAGACCAGTAGGTTCCAACACGTGCTGAAAGGCCACATAGAAGGTACTATAAGACATGTGGCAACATAGACCCCAGCTGGCCACATAGTACCCCAAGATTGGGGCAAACAATGATAAACCACAGATGTGGCACCACAGCAATATATGCTACTTCAACGTATACTGCACCATGCCACCAAAGAAAAAACCCAAAAACTCTCAAACACCACCACACCAAAACCCTGCCGATCCGCTGCCACCTTTTTAACACATGGAGCATGCCCAGTTTCAGAACTGGATGCCATTGACCCAGCGCAAACAAACTGCTATGCAGTAGTGCTCCAGTGACCTCCTGCTGAAGAGGATGGGGAGTATGTTCAGCACTATATCCTTCACCTCAAGCATCAGGGCCGTTCTATTTTAACAAAACCTATCAAACATAATCAGGTATACCCTGTAGTGTCCAGAAACTCGCTATATTTTGTGAGAAACAAATTTCTAAATGAATCCGAAAATATAAGGACCCCAACTGTCTAGAAACTATATACTTTGTGGGGGACAAATTTCTAAATGCTTATACATAAGCACCCCTAACGTCTAGAAACTATATACCTATATAAGGACCCCAAACTGTCTAGACACTATATACTTTGTGGGAAACAAATTTCTAAATGAATCCGAAATATTTTTTCGGAAACAATCTTAAAAATTGTAAGTGGAGATATGGATATGAAAAGGCCAAGACACTCTTCGAATGAGATCTTCGTCCAATAGGCACTGATAGAAACGAGGGTTGCCAGCCCGAGGTATGTAGTCATAGATCCTTAGAACTGGAGACATAATATGGTGAGGCAACAATCAGGAAGATAAAAAATCCTTTTAAACCACCCAAAAATAAGACGAGGGTCAAGTGTTCCAGACTGTGCATTTTGGGGCGAACTTGGAATAACAAGCGCCGCTTCTCAAGCGCCCACATGGCCAAACCTTAGTTCTGACAACCAACATGGACAATATAAATTACATCCATAAACAGAAATAAGATATGGGGAATCAACATTAATTCAAGACACTGTTGTAGTTCTCTCTGTAGCACATGTATGCATGTTCGACCTCACCAAGATCTTGAGCAGGTAATGGGCCAGCAGGGTTCCTTGCAAATATTGTCGACATGTTTGCAAAGACCATGAAGCACTCTGCAATCCACCTGGGGTGAACATTCATAGAAAATAAAGGCAACCAAAAAATGTTGTTTTTTTTAAACAGAGGTGGTATATTTAGAACATTTGATCATAAACAAACATTGTAAGTCGAGGAACCTATGTAAATCAGAGGGATGTGACCGTTGGATTTCGGCAGAAAGTTCAGCGCAGAAATAGACCATCAACCTCGAACTTGCACCATTGAGTTTCTTCTGGCCAATAGATGGATATGCAGTTGTCTTTGGTTGCAGCGAGTTGCGCAAGAACAAAATTGATCTTGCACGGGATCCATTTGGAACTCCTTGGTTTGGCATTAGGTTTAAATGAAAAAAACAATGGCGTTTTACTTGAAAACACTTTTTAGCAATCCAAAGATCTCTTGGTTTGGCACCAGTGGTAATACTTGGCGTAGATTTCCTGCAATCTATCATCCCGCGATCGGCCAGAAAATATTTGACGATTGTCGGTCCACACCAAGAACGCAGATCCATAAAGGTCTGGGAATATTGTCAAATCCAAGATATGGAGCAAGTCGGGGTATATTCCTTAGTTTGGCATGGACATACATGGGAACTCAGAAAAATAAAAGGACACATCAACAGTTGATGAATGTTGATTAGAAACCCAGTGTCGCCATGGGCTGAAACCAGATATTTGCGTCAGAGGTGTAGGGCCATTGATTGCAATGAAGGCATTGGTCGTCGTAAGCCTGATCATGGCAAATGCACTTTCAACACATTGGTGGATTCCATTCCATGCGCCATGGAGTCTGTGGCTATGGATGGATTGAGCTGAGATGCTCCTGGCGATATTCAGCATCTCGGCCCCAATTGGTGTATAGGCGTCCAGGGCCTTCATGTTCATCAACTGCTGCCAATGCTTCGCAAAGATAGCAGCATTCCCGATGACGGTATGATCCTTGAAAAAGATTTGTTGCCCAAAAAAACATCCAACCATATATCCAAACATTTTTTGGGGGGAAGTTCGGAATTATAGCCAAGGCACTGTTCAGCTGAAACATGGCTGCAACAAAATCAGCATCACCTTGAACCCCATCCAGTATGAATCGAAATGGCCCAGCTATGGCATGGTTTGCAAGTCCTGCCCGCTCAGGGTAATAGGAAGCCGAGAACCGTTTACCCCAAGGATCACGTTCTGGATGACGGCCACTTCCTTACAATGAGTTTCATAACCATTAAAAAAAACATATAAAAACAAAAAAAGTCAACTACAGTTTGATTAAAAAACAAAACATATCAAAACAAGAAACAACATTAAACAACAAAGTTTCCACACTTCCAGCTTAGTATCGCAAAGCATCAAAAGACCATGCCAAGACACTGCAGATCACCTGTCTTGATTCAGATGCAGTTTTGTTCGTGTTGTGCACACTCAAAGGAACCCGCGAGTCCAATGTGCTGCTAGAGCCAGGAATTACAGCGAGTAGTGACATCAACTCGAAGTGCTGTGCTCGATGAGCATCAGCACCATCCCCATATAGTCGAACCTCAGTTGGCATGGACAAACCCATGGATAGAATTGGACACTAAGTAGAATGGGCATACCTATTTTCGAGCAAAAAAAAATATGCTGAATATGACCCCAGTCACTGGCACATGATGCGCATATTCCTCATGCAATCAAAGTGCACAGGAGATGTAACCCTAGTCAAACTTGAAACCAAACCTTCAACTTTCAACCTTTTGTGTGATGGGTTTCTGTTTATAAATTGACAAGTGACTGATGGTTTGATGCCCAAAGCTGATGCCAAATCCTGATTGTATGTCCAATATTTCTCCACATCTCCAGGGAGACCAGTCCAGATGTGATGAAAGATTCCTGGGAAGTGGTACATCGAGTGCATAATGTCATGTGGAAGCATGCAGCTCTGACGAACAAAGCGGCTTGCCCCCAGGTATTCCATTTGCTCATTCAACTGCGCCTCAGCTGCGAGATCTTGAGACAGGGTAACTTGGATTTTTTATCCAACACATCATCCCAACAAAAGAAACTGTTTAAAACGCAATCTGAAGCCATGGCACTGGAACATCAAACCTGAGATGTATACATGCAGCCATGTACCATGGAATGTCAACAAACTTGCAGTGGATAGTGTTTAGTTGTTTCACTCTCTAAAGTTCAGCTAAGTGTCTGAAAGAAAGATAGTGGCAAGACTGAGCGCCAAGGTTGCTTCACAGCCCATGCATTGAAGGCATTTTCCTTTCCCCAAGATGAACTTGAATTGATAAATCGCTCATATAGATCCAAGATTGGTCTCCTCAGTTGTCAAGGGATGAGATCAAAAACTTACTGCCATAAGTGAAAGCCAGCAGCTTCTTGCAGCCAAGGATCGGAATGAGATCATGGCTCAACTTGCATATTCTGCTCACAGCTTTCTCGACGGCGGTGACAGTTGCCTGGACGAAAAACTGCGAGGATAATGTAATGTAACCATAGGGCCAAAAAACAAAACACATGTTGCATTTGCATTTTAAGCCCAAGGTGCACCACCCTTGGCCAATTGTTGGAATAGGTCATCGATTAATTCATTGATGGTCTCCTTGGAAAGCTCCAGGTGCCTAGCAACAAAAGAAAATACAGGTTGAAACTCAGAAATCAATAGGGGCATGCATGTGTTGCACACTCTTTTTTAATCTTTTCAGCGGCACGGTTGTCAAACTGGCATGTCGATCCCCGCAAACATTTGCATAGGATCTTGAGACACAAGTACATCCACCTCATGCTGTGGATATTCACACAGCAGGAAGATGTATACATACCCATCGCAGAGCAACTTTCGGTCCTGTTTTTTTTACATCTTAAATTTCAGTGGGGTGAGATTTGCATGGAAAGAAAATGGACTGGTCTCTGACCTACAGCAGCTCTGGTCAACTAGTGTTGGACCCGGTTGCATGGACTGATAGAATCAGCCTTCGCTATCTTCCTCGTCCTCATCGTCTTCCTCCTCTTCCTGGCCCTCGGTTTCCTCTGCTTCTGTTTCTTCCTGATCATCTGTCAACTCTTCGCCATCCAAATCATCTTCATCATCATTCTCCGAAGGTTGTGCAATATTGTCATCTTTGTCATCCTCATCTTTCTTCGCTTTTGGCTTTGCACATGCTTTCTTCTTTGGACGTGCCTTTGCCTTCCCTGATGCCTTGTCGGCCTTTCGCTTGGCTCCTGACAGATTTGCTTTGAACATTTTTCACCTTTAGACTGGAAGGCATGCAATGGGAAGCAACAGCATCCAGTGACACAGTGACTGGGCCCAGGACTGGACTTCCAAGACTTCACCGACGATTGTGCATTCTCGATATCTTCAATGGCTGCCTGAACGCAATAAAAACTGCATGACAGGAAACTATGACAAAATAGTGTAAAATGTGCACCAACAGACGGCCTCATTTCTATTTTGCTCATCGGTGCGCATCTGTTTGACATCGGCAATCGAGCTTCCATTGAAGATAGCATCCTCCATCCTGCCAGCAAGAAAGAATGTCGCTAGGAACATCTAGGAACACATCGGTATTATATACATGGGAAAATATGGGAAAGGCACTAGACCATACTGGCCTTGTAGCCAAGTCCCTGAGGAAAGAGTTGTGCTTCTTCAGGCTCGATTGCAATGCCTGCAGAGTGTTGCATTAAGGTTCAGATGCATATTGACATTGCACTTTGTGACACTGGAAATCCATGGAAATCCTACATCTATGTGCCCAACAGCCTCTTGGTGTGGAATCTTTAGCTCATTCATATCAGCTGCAACTTCTCGGGCTTTGCCTCCCTTGTCTCTCAGCCTTGGGTGGGACAAAGAAAAGCTTGGGATATCATGGGATCTTGAGTAAAGCTGCTTCGATACTTGAATAAACATATCACATCCAAGAAACGCTTTGATGTCCTTTTCAAGGTCTTTCTTTTCATCAGGTGTCTTAGGACGCGCTGCTTTCTTTGCTGCTCCCTTCCCACTCCCCTTCCTGGTTTGTGGAGTAGACCCTGCAGAAAGGGGCGAGCCCATGTTGGCAATGTTTGTGTCCAGCATACTGCTCAAAGCTTTCTTCGCTGTTTTGCCCTTGATCCTTCCAGAAGCCCTGGTACTTGTCCCAGATCTGTAGGCTTCGGCACCTCAGCACCAGAAACAAACATCATAACTTAGAACAGCTAGCACGGGGGACACATTCATGCAAACCATACAGGCCAAGGTGCTGATATGCTTGCCCTTTTTCCACACTTTGTACACTTTGAAGTTGTCGTCATCGGGATACTCAGTTCCAAAGGGTTGCACAAGAGTCCCAATGCTTTCAGGTAGCATGAAAGGTCAAACATTGCAACCTTGCTTGCAGCCAAGGATCCTGTGGATGCGCCGTTCCTGTCTGGCCTTTGCAGCTGGTATCTTGCGAATATTTTTGATGGGAGGTTGGAGCAACTAAGCTGCACACTCGCCAAGATGCGTTCGATGAATTTCCTGGGCCATGGAGTCCAGGAGATGCAAATAGAAACATAGGGCGCTGATAGATCCTGAAGATAATGGTGATATATTTCATTGGATAAAAGATATACCCCTGGAATCCCCTGGATATGGTTCAATATAAGCACATATATATATATATATAAGCACATATATATTATATAAATATATATATATATATATTTAAATACATATATTAATATATAAATACATATTAGAGTTTGGTGCAATCTATGCCAAGATTCTTGCCAGCTGCTGTCCCTCCATATTTCTCTTCGATCTCGAAAAGGGCGAGATCTTCATAGACATCCTCGTCCTTGCGTTCTGACTCCCTGAGTTGCGTAGGCAGAAAGTCGAGCATACCCTTTCAGCACAAAAGTTTGACAACCAAGGATCGGACTGCACAAACCATGCCTCGACTTCAACGTCCTTCCTAGGGCCGATGATGTGCAGGGCATGAAGACACTTGGCTTGGCACATTGACTGTTTGCACAATGTCGCACCACATACCAAATTTACAATAATGCATCCAAGATTCATGTCTTCATCCAACATGAAGGCCCTGACCAGTTCCCATCGCTTCTTGTTGTTGCCATTGCAGCTGATATACTTCTGAACTAGTCCTGCTGGTAGCCCTTGTGGATTTGCTATCCGGCGTGCGAGAGCATTGTACCACACACGTCGTTCTTTGATAGAAACATCCTTCTGGCTCATGCTCTTGATTTTCTCGCGCTGCTCTGGGCTGAAAGAACTGGCCTCACATGGGAACAAATAAAACTAAATGAAATAATTTGAAATAAGGCTATTACCAAGTTTGTGTCAAGTTTGTTAAGATACTTGAATCCTTTTTTGATCCAAGGAACTCTGATCAGCCGGCCATCGGAAGAGATCGAAGCAATGCTGCCAGAGACGGTTGGTGTACCTTGTCCATCCTTGGTTATTGGTTTCAGGGGGTGCGGTCTGGGAAAGGGAACATCACTAAGCAATTTATTGAGATAAGATGCACTGACTTTTGACATGGATCGGTCAAGCCTCAGCTGACAAATAAAAATACCTGAAGCTTTTACACATCCAGATATACATGCAGAAATTCAACAAAAATATGCCAAGCAACTGTCTTGGTGCAGGTGAGCTGGCTGGTGAGCTGAACTTCTTTGTGTTTTTGTCCTTTGGGGTCACAAGTTGCGCTGCATCTAGTGAGTCAGTAGATCCCTTCGTTCGCAAACGGACCAATTTGCCACTTTCTGGCACTTGGCCAACCATCCTTTTAGGTGGTCGTTTTGCCTCTTCTTCCACTTCATCTTTATAGTCCTCTGGTCTCATCAAACCCAAAGCCATCCTCTCCTCAACTGGGAGCTGGGAATCCTCTTCTTCCTCATCAAAATCGGTCGATTCGGTCGGATCCTTTTCTTTCACAGGGGCTTTCTTTTTGCCACTGCTGCTGGGGGAACTCTTTTTCTCCTTTTTCTTCTTCACTGCAGTGTCGTTGGTACAGGGCTCAATCTCTTCCTCATGATCCTCAACATTCTGGGATCCTGCGGTTGGCTCTTGGGTGTTTCCTTTCCTCTTTTTCTTTTTGGTGGTTGCTGGTGACTCCTCAGGCGCTTCTTCCTCAGCCATCTCAGCTTCCTTCTTCTTTTTCTTTTTGGTGGTTGCAGGTGACTCCTCAGGCGCTTCTTCCTCAGCCATCTCAGCTTCCTTCTTCTTTTTCCCCACATCTTTGTGTGGGGTTCTTGTTTTTGATTCTGTATCCCGGGCTCCTCCTCCGCCTTCTCCTCCTCCGCCCTCCTCCACACTTTGTCACCACACACTTGTCCACACACACTTTGTCAACACACACTTTGTCACCACACACTTTGTCACCACACATTGTCAACACACACTTTGTCAACACACACTTTGTCACCAAACACTTTGTCCACACACACTTTGTCCACACACACTTTGTCCACACACACTTTGTCACCACACACTTTGTCCACACACACTTTGTCACCAAACACTTTGTCCACACACACTTTGTCCACACACACTTTGTCACCACACACTTTGTGAACACACTTTATCAACACACACTTTGTCAACACACACTTTGTCACCAAACACTTTGTCCACACACACTTTGTCCACACACACTTTGTCACCACACACTTTGTCCACACACACTTTGTCACACAAACACTTTGTCACCACACACTTTGTCCACACACACTTTGTCACCACACACTTTGTCCACACACACTTTGTCACCAAACACTTTGTCCACACACACTTTGTCCACACCTTCGTTTCATGTGGCAGGCGTGGCACAAACTCACATCTACCGTCGTTTTGCGTGGCAGGCGTGGCACTTATGGTACTGGGTGGCGCCCTTGGGCCCGGATTTGGCGCCTGTGACGCCGCGGCACTTTGCGTGGCAGGCGTGGCACAACCTGACATCCACCTTCGTTTCACGTGGCAGGCGTGGCACAAACTCACATCCACCGTCGTTTTGCGTGGCAGGCGTGGGACAGATGGCACTGGGTGGCGCGCTTGGGCCGGATTTGGGCGCCTGTGACGCCGCGGCACTTTGCGTGGCAGGCGTGGCACAACCTGACATCCACCTTCGTTTCACGTGGCAGGCGTGGCACAAACTCACATCCACCGTCGTTTTGCGTGGCAGGCGTGAGCACAGATGGCACTGGGTGGCGCGCTTGGGCCGGCTTGGGCGCCTGTGACGCCGCGGCACTTTGCGTGGCAGGCGTGGCACAACCTGACATCCACCTTCGTTTCACGTGGCAGGCGTGGCACAAACTCACATCTACCGTCGTTTTTGCGTGGCAGGCGTGGACAGATGGCACTGGGTGGCGCGCCTTGGGCCGGGATTTGGCGCTGTGACGCCGCGGCCTTTGCGTGGCAGGCGTGGCACAACCTGACATCCACCTTCGTTTCACGTGGCAGGCGTGGCACAAACTCACATCCACCGTCGTTTTGCGTGGCAGGCGTGGGAGACAGATGGCACTGGGTGGCGCCCTTGGGCCGGCTTGGGCGCCGTGACGCCGCGGCACTTTGCGTGGCAGGCGTGGCACAACCTGACATCCACCTTCGTTTCACGTGGCAGGCGTGGCACAAACTCACATCTACTGTCGTTTTGCGTGGCAGGCGTGGGACAGATCATCTCTCACACACCGTCACAGACCATCTTTCACACACCATCTTTCACACACCGACTTTGTCACACGCCATCTTTCACACACAACTTTGTCACACGCCATCTTTCACACACAACTTTGTCACACACCAACTTTGTCACACACCATCTTTCACACACCAACTTTGTCACACACCATCTATCACACACCTCTTTGTCACACCCCACCTTTCATACACCATCTTTCACACATCACATTGTCACACACCATCTTTCACAAACCCTCTTTCACACACCACTTTGTCACATACCATCTTTGACACACCGCTTTGTCACACACCACTTTGTCACACATCACATTGTCACACACCATCTTTCACACATCACACCTTGTCACATACCATCTTTGACACACCGCTTTGTCACACACCACTTTGTCACACATCACATTGTCACACACCATCTTTCACACATCACATTGTCACACACCATCTTTCACACACCACTTTGTCACATACCATCTTTGACACACCGCTTTGTCACACACCACTTTGTCACACACCATCTTTCACACACCATCTTCCACACACCACTTTGTCACACGCCATCTTTCACACACCGTCACAGACCATCTTTTCATACCATCTTTCACACACCATCTTTCACACAACACTTTGTCTCGCACCATCTTTCACCACACCATCTTTCACACACCACTTTGTCACACACCATCTTTCACCACACCATCTTTCACACACAACTTTGTCGCACACCATCTTTCACCACACCATCTTTAACACAACTTTGTCACACACCATCTTTCGCCAAACCATCTTTCACACACCAATTTGTCACACACCATCTTTCCCACAACTTTGTCACA